CCACCGCGCCCGACCCATGGGAAAACAGTTCTAATGTTTTTGTTTCTCCAGTGAGGAATGTAACAGAGAAGCAGATTTTGCTAAAGAATGAGTACTTCTTAACATTCCAAGTTTTCCCCAAGACAGAAAGGGAGGGTGGGAGGCAGTGGGTTCCCATCCTGGGAAGTGTTCACTGAGAGGCTGGATATCACGTGGTAGAAATGTCCCAGGGGGCCATAATGAAATGCCTGCCCGACGGCCTTGCAGCGTCCTTCGAGACTCTGAGAGGTACTCTAGGATGAGGCACTGGCCCTCTGCAGGGTGACTGTCTCTGGCCAGGTAATAGGACTCTGAGAGAAGCCCAGGGGAGTTAGCAAGAGCCACATAGCCCAAAGCACCACAATGCTTTGTAAAAACAGCAATACTGAAATGTGGACTTTGTCACCACCCTTGGATCACAGCCACTCCTCTGAGAGCACTATGCTCGCTGTCCATTTTCCATTCATTGGCAAATGCCTGTTGAGTATAACGCGTGGGCCAGACTCCACGGGAAGCAGACCGCGGAGTCAGCAGAGAGCATGATGGGCACCATCCATGTCCTCCTCGGCCTCACATCCACTCGCAATTAACTAGGCAATCTGAAGACAGCTGCTGGGCGACAGCATCTAACAGGAACATCTGATGGTGGGGTTTGCGAGCAAAGGTCTTCCTGAAGAAGTGGCATGCTAATGGGACCTGCTGTCTGAGGTGGGGTGACCACGCCTCGGCTGTGTCCCTGACTTCTGGGGGTTAGCAAGGACCCTGCGTGTGACCAGGTGAATCACCAAGGGTGGAGCAGATGCATGGAAGAGTGGCCCAAAGGCAGGCCAGAGCCAGACCCTACAGGCCCGAGGGCTAAAGGAGGTCGGGCTTTGTCCCAGAGCAGATGGTGAAGTCAGGGAAGGCCAGTGGGCAGAAACGAGGGAGGACAGCCTCCACCCACTTGACCACATCTCTGCCGAGGGCCTTCCAAGGAGGACACCCCTGAAGAGGGGACAGGCCCCATCTTCTGTTTCCAGCATCTTTCCAGTCTCCTTTTTGAGACTTCCCAGCTCCCATAACCCAAATCCTGCCCACTGCTCACCCTGGAAAAGGTCAAAGGAGAAAGTCCAAGTGATTCTGAGGATGTTCCCAGGGCCCAGAGCCATCCATACACATCTGAGACCTCTGCAAAAGCCACGCAAAGTAAAATTGGCTTTGTCTCCCTTTTCCCAGGCCATCCTTTTGGCCTTGCAGTCTGTGTGTATGTGTTTATTGTAAGAGCTTTGTTCATCATTTCTTAAGGAATATGTATGATGTGAGGGTTGGGGATGTTTGTACATAAGAAGTTACACAAGGAATCATAGAAAGACGTTGCCCAATGGAGAACCACCTTAATGTTGAGCTTTGTCTAAAAGCTGGAGTTTTTGCCAGTCACTTGAATAGAAGCGTTCTGTGCCATTTATGAGAGAGAAGATGGTTACACTCACCTGCACACAGGTGAGCTCACTTATACCTAAGGCCCTAATTGAATGCCTGGCCTTCCTTGGGAAAAGTGAAGCAAGCCATCTTTCTTGAGCCCCTGGCCAGCACCAGGACCTGCATGCTTTGCACCCTGTCTGTAACCTGCCAGCAGCCCACGGGCTCTGTGCAATGGAAATGGAAGTGAGGCTCTGGGAGGTTAAGTAACCAACCTCAGCACGTAGCCAGGAAGTAGCACATCCTGGATCCCAGCTTTCTCCAACTCCACAGCTCTTTCCACCCCACCCCGCAGTCCTGTGCTGACCTGATGTTCTTCAGCTGGGTTGGGAGAAAGAAGATCAGTAGCTATCTCCCTGCCCTTGGGTCTTGTCTCCTAAGATCTGGAAAAGTGTTCAGGCAGACATCCAGCCAGTGGCAGCCTCCCTCCCAAAGGTGTTGGAAGACCCCATTTGCTGTGGAAACCCCTGGTTTCTTGGAAAGCACAGGCAGAGGCTGGTCGTGGGCTACTGAGCCCACCCAGGGAGTGCATATGGCTCTGCCTGGGATCAGCAATAAGTCTCGTGGTCCTCACTTGGTGCCCCAGCCCCCTATCTTTGAAGCAATCATGCTCTCTTCAGTTGCTACCTAGCTCTGTATATGGAGAGGCTGTGCATGACCTGGACCCAAGATAGGTACACACAGGAGCAATTAAGAATCAGGAGGCTCTGAAGTTGAACTGGCCAAGCTGGAATCAGGCTCCACCACTCACTAGTTACCTAATGATACGCACATTTGATCTCTCTAGGCCTCCATTTCTTCATTGTGAAGTGGGTCTACTAATCACCTGCTAGTCGCTGTAAGGAGGAGATGAGAGGAGCCATATTACCACATAGCAAGGGGCCTGGTGCGAGAAACTAGCTACTCTCACTGTTGGGGGAAAAGTCGTGATCATTCTTGTTTTTGACTCATGCCACTGAGCAAGCTGTGTGTGGCCTAGGAGAAATTGCTTTCCTCCTGAGCTTCCTTTTTTTTTTTTTTTTTTTCCTGGTGGAATGCGTGATCTTGGCCACATCACCTGTAAGGATTCCTGTAGTGTTTACGACTTGGTGACTTTGGCTGGATCACTTTTAGGTGGTCCAGAGCCTAAGGACACCCCTGGAATCTGGTTTTATCTGCAGACTTTGCTTTTATAAATTGGTTTCTTATCTCCAATATTCAATCTTACTCCCAGGAGCGTCTAGGGAATGTGGGTTCGTTTAACATCCTGACGTTAGGCGTGAATGGCATTATTGATGATCGGCTGATGCCTTTGGCTGAGAAGTCCGCTCTTCTTACTGTTGGCCTCTTGTACAGAAACAAACAAAAAAAACCCTTCTCACAGCCTTCTCAGCCAGAGAAGTGGCCAAACAGCCTTCCCAGGAGGAAGGCAAAGAAAAGGCCATTGGCTCCGGGAATCTACAGATCTGAACAACTTCTAGCCTGTCATGGAATACTAGCTGTGTCCTCTGTAGACCTAAGCCTGGGATCCCTTTCCCAGGATCTCTGGATCTTGGGAGGAGGCAAGTTAATGATGGAGACCTATCCCCATTTCCTGGACCTACCACAAAGTATTGTAAACTGGATGGCTCAAAACAAAAGAAGTTTATTGTTTCACGGTTCTGCAGGCCAGCAGACCCAAATCAGGGAGTCTGTGACAGGGTTGCTTCCTTGGGAGGGCTGTGCGGAAGTCTGTTCTGTGCCCATCTCCCAGCTTCTGGTGTCTGCTGACAGTCCTTTGCATTCCTTAACTGGTAGATTCATCACCCCCGTATCTGCACTCAATCATCACGTGGCCTCCTCCCTGTGTGGGAGTCTTCACATCCTCCCTCTATGCACATCTGTCTCTATGTCCAAATTTCTCCTTTCTGCAAGGACAGCAGTCATGTTGAATTGGAGTCCACCTAATGGCCTCATTCTCACTTTATTTAACTGTATTACCTCTGCACAGCCATTTCTTTTTTTTTTTTTTTTTTTTTTTTTTGCTTTTTATTTATTTATTTATTTATTCCCATTTATTTTATTGCATTTTAGGTTTTGGGGTACATGTGAAGAACATGCAAAATTGTTGCATAGGTACACACGTGGCAGTGTGATTTGCTGCCTTCCTCCCCATCACCTACATCTGGCATTTCTCCCCTTGCTATCTCTCCCCAGCTTCCCACCCCCCACCGTCCCTCCCCTATTTCCCCCCAACTGACCCCAGTGTGTAGTGCTCCCCTTCCTGTGTCCATGTGTTCTCATTGTTCAACACCCGCCTATGAGTGAGAACATGCGGTGTTTGATCTTCTGCTTTTCTGTCAGTTTGCTGAGAATGATGGTTTCCAGGTTCATCCATGTCCCTACAAAGGACCCTAACTCATCGTTTTTGATGGCTGCATAATATTCCATGGTGTATATGTGCCACATTTTCCCTATCCAGTCTATCATCGATGGGCATTTGGGTTGGTTCCAGGTCTTTGCTATTGTAAACAGTGCTGCAATGAACATTCGTGTGCTGCACAGGCATTTCTAATAGGATAGCATTCCAAAGTACTGAGAATTAGGACTTCAATATAGACTTTTTGGGGGGACACCATTCCACCTATAACAAGGTCCTTGGACTATGTTCATTACTTCCAAGACATAAGAATTAAACAATTCTCCCTACTGATTCTTAGTAATTCTGTTTATTAAGAGCACAGACTCTGAGATGAGCTGGGTTTGAATCTTGGCTCTGCCACTTACTAGCTGTGTGATCTTGGGTAACTCATTAGGCCCCTATGTGTTCAGTTTCCTCAACTGTAAATTGAGAATAGTAATAAGATTTACACCTCTGAGAGTTGATATAAACATTAAATAAAAACATATTTACAGTACCTCATCTTATCACTATTCTATATCTTACCACATTTGGAAAAGGCTCCATCTAATAAAATCAGTGAAAGTGTCTGTGATGTTTATCATGTACCACCAGGCACTATTCCAAATGCTGTTGCATACATCAACTCATGGCATCACCACAGCAACTGAGATGAGTACTAGAGTCATCCCTGTTATACAGAAGCAAAAACCAAGTCCTAGAGCGATCAAGTCGTATAGGTACAGCCCTGCAGACACTAAGGGGAGAAGTTAGGACCCAAATCCAGACTTGTCTGACTCCAGGGCCTTTTAGGAGCCATTCAGACTGGGCGACTTTCTAGGAATAATAAAAGGGTTTTGTAAGGATGAAAAGAATCACAGGCCACCACCTTCGCTTGCCCAGAAAGTCATTCTGCTTTCAAATGCCTGATTCTGGAGGCCTTTCCTATCATGGCAGACTGAGAGTGCTCAGAAAACACACTCCTTTCTTTACAATAGGCCCAGTAGGTGAAGGGCATGTGTCTGTCTTCCAAACCCCAGGATGGCTTTGGAAGGCCCCCACCCCAACCCAGGAGAGCCAGGAAGAAGCAAACCATGATGCCTTCCCGCCAAGAAACAATGGTCATTTGCCTGACATCTTGACTCTGTGGTTTTGTGTCTTCTAGGGAAGTCCATTAGAAGTGCTGTGCTGAACAAGGGGATGCTCTGTCTTTGAAGAAAGAAGAGATGGTCCCTCCCCAGCCGTGGGCCACCCTCACCAGTGACTCCAAGTGGAACTACTTAGCTCATGTGTGCCTGGAGGGTGTGGGAAGCCCAGCGACTCTCAGATGCACCTCCCAGAGGACCAGTGGGAATTGTTCATAGTGCCAAAGTCCTACTACTGCGTTTTCAATGGGTCCTTGTACATAGTTTGCTCCTCCGCCCTAGCCCTCACCTCTTGCTATACTGGAACCGATTTGTACAATGTGGGAATTTTGTTACCTTTTTAATCAAGGGCAACTTCCTTTTCCAGCACTACCATTGTAAGGTTTTTATCAGGAGGGAGGGCTAACCGCCTTGCTTTTCTCTTTTTCTTTTATAATTTTTATTTTATTAATTTGGGGAAGGGGTGTTAGTATTAGTGCCATGATATCTACTGGATTTTAAGTAGGGAGAATTTGTTTTTAAAGGTAGGTTGAAATTTGAGAGATTTCTCAGCAGGAAGGGCTGAAATCTATGCCTCTGTCTCAACTTGGAGAGAGGTGACAGACAGTAGATCTTGCAAATCAAATTCCTTTCCAGTTCTTCCCCTGGCTGCCTTTTCAGGGGGTCCCTGCCTTAGTCCCACACTAGGCTTTCTGAACTGCCAAGAGGGGATCTGGCTTCTCCACTGCTTGGCCTCTTGGGCCAGGCTGGGCCCAGCCAGCACTAGGAGAACTGGGTAACAGGTAGCTGACTTCTTTAAGCACCTTTCTAAAAACCAGCAGAAGAGGCTCCCGCCTCTGTGAGCATGGTCAGTACTATTGTGACGTTAAAACAACAACAAGATCTTCCTATCTGGAGGGTTCAAAGGTGAACAGTTTGCTTTTCATTTCTCTTTTCACTGCCTTTTCTCGGTGTGGTATTTGACGAGATTTCAGCTCAAAGCCTCACCATGAATTGATTTTTTGTTTGTTTCTTTGCGTGTGTGTTTGTTTTGGGGACAATTTTAGATACCTGAGTGCACTTTTCTTCAGTTAGTCCTAACTTTTAAGGAAGGAAAACCAAGAGACCTATCTGGTGTACATGTTGCAATATGAATTCTGGTTGCAATCCCTCCCCCCTCCCATTCTGCCCCCCATTTGAGTACACCACACAAGTCAAATGCTAGGAAGTTTGAATCAAACCGATTTTTCTAACTTGTTGCTCATTTGTTGTAACTCAATAAAGCAAAGACTAAACATTTTTATAACCTTTTCCTCTACTTCGCCTTATTTATTGTTGTCTGGCTCCCAAGGGCTTGACATAAGGGTTCTGACTCAGGCAACCCCCGTTTCAAATTCATACAGTCACATTTCTCATTTCTCATCTTGGAAGGATCTGACATCACAAACTTTAAAAACAAGATGTAGGCCCGGCGCAGTGGCTCATGCCTATAATCCCAGCACTTTGGGAGGCCGAGGTGGGTGGATTACTTGAGGTCAGGAGTTGGAGATCAGCCTGGCCAACATCATGAAACCCCATTTCTACTAAAAATACAAAATGAGCTGGGTGTGGTGGCATGCACCTGTAATCCCAGCTACTCAGAAGGCTGACAGGAGAATCACTTGAACCCGGGAGGCAGAGGTGGCAGTGAGCCGGGATAGTGCCACTGCACTCTAGCCTGGGCAACAAGAGTGAAACTCCATCCCCCCCGCAAAAAAAAAAAAAAAAAACAGGATGTAAGTGTTGTCGTAGGAATCTTCAGCGGATCTCTTTGACACAGAGGAAGTTATAGGCCCTCCCTTCTCCAGGTTCTCACAGATAAAATAGTCAAGAGAAGAGCTTCAGAGCAGGGATGAGAAGCCCCTCAGTGAGCAGACTTGCCCTTGGATGACCTGAGCTAAGTCACTCCCCTCTCCTGGGCTGCTGGTGAGTGGTACCTGGGACACTGCCATTTCTCTGAGAATGTGGCTTTTAAGTACCTCTGCCCTGGTGAGGTTTAAAGAGTCCCTCACTCTTTGTGCCTGACACTCGTCCAGACCAGTGGTTCTCAAAGTTGGTTAGAATGTCTAATCCTCAGGTCTGGGGTGGGAGCTGAGAATGCACATTGCTAACAAGTTCCTCACCTCAGGAACCTCTGGCCTAGACGCTTCATTTTTATAGGAGCTTACAGACTTTTGGCCAGTTTATCTAAACTTAGGGTGTGTTTATTCTTCAGATAAGGGGAAAGACCAACTTTTCAAAATACAGGAAACACTGAAAAATTCAAGATTCGAAAGGGCCTGGCCTTCTCTGGGGGATGCCCGCAGTCCCCATCCTGTGGTTTACCATGACACCATCCCCATCTCTGCACATAGCCCTCACCACACAGCTCCGGGATTCACTTGGTCAGTTTGTCAATCCCCGAAGCTGAGAGCAGGAGCCACAGATTCTCCATAACTGTATCTCCAAAATTAGCCGGGCATGGTGGCACGTGCCTATAATCCCAGCTACTCAGAAGGCTGAGGCAGGAGAATTGCTGGAACCCAGGAGGCAGAGGTTGCAGTGAGCCAGGATCACTCTGCTCTCCAGCCTGGGCAACCAAGCAAGACTCCACCTCAAAATAAATAAATAATAATAGCTATCTTTTTTATTGAGCACTTGTTATGGGTTGGGCTTTGTGCTGAGTGCTTACATACGTTTTCTTATTTTACTTTTACCACCCTATGAGATAGGTGCCCCATTTTGCAAATGAAGGAACTGAGGCTTAGTGAGGTTTTTTGCAACAAGCCCAAGGTCATGTAAGCGGTTGTCATTACAACAAGCCCAAGGTCATGTAAGCGGTCGTCATGGAGCCTACTATTTTTGCCTATTATGTGTCCCTTCCCCACTGCTTCTGGTAAAAGCAGCCTCTTTTCTATGGGAACTGCCTTCCCCATTCCATGAGGCTGTGCTGTGACCATTGACGGACCTGCCCAAGCACGTGATCCCAGCCTAGCCAATCATAGTTCCCGTCCCCTGGCCCTAGTGATGGCATGTGGGCCAAGCAGGGCCAACTGAGCCTCTTCCTGAGAGATGGCTGTAGAGAGAAAAAAGCTTGCTTTCTGCTTGGGTAGCTAAATTAAGAAGATGTGGGCCTGGGGCTGACTGCAGCTATTTTCTTTGCCATTGGGAGGATGCCTCTCTACAGAAGATGAAAACTCAGAGAGAAAAGCAGAAAAGCAACTATGTGCTAATATTACAGTTGTTGGAATATGGCATATTAGATAAGTTGCTGGAACAAAGAAACACCAAAATGCAGTGTTTGAAACAAGATAGAAGTTTGTTTCTGTCTCAGGCAACAGTCCAGGGTGGGCCATCAGACAGTGCTCCATAGAGCCATTCAGGGACCCAGGATGCCAGGCAGCGGTGGGGGGGAATGTAGGCTCTGGATAGGTGGCCAAGAACCTGCAGCGAAGGGACTCTGTATCCGAAAGGAAGAAGAAGAAGGGGAGAGTGGCTATCAAGGACAGAGCAATCTCAGGTCAAGTTTACCTTCACCCTCTCCAGTAACGAGCCCAGAATGAACTATTTATGTTTTCAGCTGGTTTACTTGGGTTGTTGAAACTTAAAACCAAAAATCATGACCAATATAGCCTTGAAGCCTCTGTCTCCCTGACTGGTGCTGCCAGGGGCTAAAGGGGCTGAATCACAGAGGAGAAGGTCCTGGAGTAGGTAGAATGGAAGGGACTGGCAGGTGAGTGCAAGACCGCATCTAAAGAGGGCTTATTCAGAGTGTCAGACCTACTAGATGAGAAATGGGAGACAAAGAATGAGGCCTTGAGCAAAGGGTCACAAGCCCAGGCCGAGTCAAAAGGATGACAACCGGTGAGTTTCAGCCTTCGGCCATGAGTGAAGTGGGCCCAGATATGTCTTTATTCCTCTTGAGTTCCAGTGACATCAAGAAGCAGAAGGTAAGCTGGCTAAGTGCACAGGCTCAAGTAATGCTGGCTGAGGTCAAATCTCAGCTGCACCACTTACTAGCTACGTGACCTTGGGCAAGTCACTTATTCACTCTGTGTCTCAGTTCACTCACCTGTAAAATAGAGATAATAATTGTGTCTATTCATATCGTGGCAGGCACCATGAGTCAGTATATGGAAAGCATTTAGAACAGTGCCTCTTATCTATTAAATTCTCAGGGTTGCCATTGTTATTCCTGGCTGCATAATGCACAGATGGATTAACTCAAAATGATAGGGATGGACAGACTCCCTCTCCCTTTTTATGAATATCAGCATCTATCACAGTTGTGTTGTTGGAGAGTTCTTGTCCTTGACTGAGAAGCCTTGCAATCCTGCAGCAGCCATCGACTGTGAGCTCCAGTTGCCCTGGAGATAGCTGCCATCAATATCTATCCTCAGACCTCCCTCACCACTTCCTCATTCTTCCTCAGTCCCTGCACTCCGCCAGTCTCTGGCATAGACAGGATGCAAGGATGCCTTCTCCTTAATGAGCTCTGCTCACACTCCAGATGCCACACTCCACCTGGTCCATTATAAGAGCACCTAGTCTCTCTCTTATGGTCTCTGCTCAAGTGCCAGCTGCCCTCCATGACACCCTGTCTGCAGGGGTAGGACTAGGGTGAGTCAAGGAACCTATCTAAGGGTACAAAATTTAAGGCAGAAAGATCATGCAGCTGACAAACCCTGCCCTTGCAGAAGCCTGAAAGTGGATGCCTGCTGAGATTTCTCATCCTGGGTGCCTCACGTGCCTCACTCTAGCCATGACCCTGCCTACCCATCATGCTTTTCTCTAACCATGCTTCATTTTCTTCCATCCTGCTTTTCACAACATATCATCGTGTATCTATTTGTTTATTGCCTTTTTCATCCCACTATATTGCAAGCTCCATGAGAATAAGGACTATATCTATCATGTTTCCTCACTGTATCCCCTGTGCCTAGCAAAGCATCTGGCACCAAGTAGATGCTCCATAAATATTTGTTAATGGATGGATGGATGAATGGGTGAATAATGGATGAGTAGATGAATAGGTTATGAATAGATGGATGATAGATGGATGGATGAAGATTGCCAGCTCTGCAGTCTAACAGCCTGAGTTTGAATCCCAGCTCTACTGCTGACCAGTTAGGTGATCTTGTGGGAGTTACTTAGCTTTTGTTGGAGCCCTGGCTCCTCATCTGAGACCCGGAGATGATTATATTCACATAATAGGTTTGTTGTGAGGTTTCACTGAGTTCATGCATGCAAAATACTCAACACACAATAAGAGCTCTACAAATGTCCATTCCCCTCCCACCACTCTAAGCAGGGAGTGACATCTGGCCGAGCAGTGTGATGCCTGCACCTTTCCATCCCTGGATGGGAAGTTTGTGTGAGGAGGATAGCCAGGAGGAAGTTAGATCCAGGTCTAGGAAATGATATTCCAGACATGTGCTTCTGGCACTGGAGACGTTGCCATATCCCCTCAGCACCACTCTACCCCCAAACTCTTCCCCAACCCACAAACTTTCCAAAATTCCAACCTGCACTTTTCTTTTAAAAAGTTAAAAGTGGCTGTGGCTACCTCATCTTCCGGTTCCTGCCTGCACTGTCTTCCCTGCCTGTGCCCTCAGCACCTGGACCTTCCCTAGACCTCATCACCCACACACTGTCTTGTCCTCCTTCCCATTAATGAACATCTCCATCACTCTCTCCCTTGACAGGTGGCTGCCTTCCCCTCCTGCCATTTACCACCCTTACACTTAAGCTTGCCACTCCAAAGCAATTTAAATCAATGTTTCAGGTAAGGCGGTATGAGAGGCTGTCAAATGCTTGAAGGACCCAAAGAAAAAGCCTCGATAATTGGTGGGGATGGAAATACACAGGGGAAATGGGTGTGTTCGTTTAAACACCCAGCAAAATATGTCAAACTATCGTCCTCCACTGGAAATGATTAAAGAGTGGCAGAAGCCAGGAAGGAGGTTCTTAGGAGGGATAGATGGACAGGAATCTTGGTGAGGTGGAAGAGTGGGGCATGGAGTGACCAGCACTGCTTCTGTCTGCCCTGTACCTCTTGCACTCCTACTCCTTCTTGAGGATATACTCCTATCTCCCTCCACTCATCTCATTCTGGGGACTTCCCATCCTACTGACCCACTCCCTCTCCTACAGCAGTGAGCCAAGGCACTCCAGTACCCTGTTCAGAGTCAGGTACAGTACCATGCATAAGACCCAAACAGGCCCAAGTCAGATACTGGGGGAAGAGCTTCCTTTCCCATTTAGTTGGCAGGTGTGATCATGTTAACCACCAG